CGATCTATAGATAGATAAATAGATAGATCTATAGATAGATAGATAGATAGATAGATAGATAGATAGATAGATAGATAGATAGATGATAGATAGAGATAGATTGATCTATAGATAGATAGATAGATAGATAGATCTATAGATCTATAGATAGATAGATATAGATACAAATATGTACTTAGATATAGATTTAGATATAGACATACTGCTTCACAGTTCTTTACAACCATCTTTAAGCAGTTTACAGAGTCAGCCTATTGGCCCCAACAATCTGGCTCCTCATTTTATTTCCTTGGAAGGATGGAAGCTGAGTCAACCTTAAACAGGTCAGGATCGAACTGTTGGCAGTCAGCTGAATTAGCCTGCAATACTGTATTCTAACCACTGCACCACCACGGCTCTATATATAGGTTTATTGTATGCTAAAATTCTGTACAAGAATCTGAACTACTAATGGTCAAAGCAAATTGGCGGCAGATAATAGTCAAAGAAATTCAAGGTGGGCTGGACTTCTATCTCTTGTGAGTGCAAAGGGACTCGAGACTGATAATACATTTGACCCCTCCCTTAATCTCAGCCTGGTCATCTCCTACACAAATATATTTATAGAATTGCAACCAAGATATAGAAGAAAATTTGGATTTTTTATCTCTCTTGTCTGTTTGCCATGAATTTAAGTGTTGTTTTAGGAATAAGATAAATTCTGAATCTGGCCAGAGACTTTAATTTTCTTTCATTTTAAAAAGTCTTTCGTCTGAATAACCTTATGCGTTGGACTAAATTAAAGAGTTAATATTTCTTCTATACAAAATGGGCTATAATTTAGGAACATAATTATATCATCCCGTGGCAATTCTCAAAAGAGGCAATGATTTGCATTGTTTTATCTTGTAAGACAATTGATCCACAAATGATACAAACCCTCTTTTGCTGCTAAATGTATATGCCAGAGTAATTTTATAGATGTCAGATGGGAAAATTTAGATAAAAGTTATTTTAAGCAACTGAATTCAGAGCTACCATTTGCAGCTTTGATCTTACCATTAAAATGTGTTGATTTTTTTTCTTAGTACAGGCTTTCTGTCATTTAAGATAAAAAATGCACAAAAGTGAAAATGTAAATTTGAAATACTCTTATTCATTTTTATAAACATTTTTGATGAGTTATCTTCAAACCACCCAAACCCCAGTTCTTGCATCTGAGTGACACAATTTCATCCATCATTCCCCTCTTTTGACAGCACGCGGCCATCAAAATGTAGCCTAACATAAACCAACTTCCAAACTTTTCCATTATCATGTGATCGCCATTTGCAACCTTCTCTGACTTCCCAAGGAAATCAATGGTGAAGCCGACTGTTCTGACCTTGGCTTCCCCAGCAGCACGAAGCCAAGTCCTCGTCCTGATAAACCCCTTTTATTTAATTTACAGTGAATTCTGCTCAGTGGTGGGTTTCAAAAATTGTTTGAACCTACTCTGTGGGTGTGGCTTCCTTTGTGGGAGTGGCTTGTCACCCATGTGACTGGATGGGAGTGGCTTGCCGCCCATGTGACCGGATGGGAGTGGCTTGCCGCCCATGTGACCGGATATGAAGATGCCGACGACACTTGTCAGAACCACCTTAAATTACCTCATACACAGCACTGGCATGCATAAGAATATGATGTAAACTTGTTTTTTAAAAGGCATCTTTGGTTTGCGTTAAAACAACTTCAACACACGCAATGTTCTGATTGCACCACAAACCAGTAGTCATCCTTACCTTTCACAGAGGCACTGAGTTTTATAAATATGAGCATGATAGTGTAGAATAATCATATCCAAGGACCAGTGGCGGGTTTCAAAAAAATTTGGAACCTCTTCTGTAGGTGTGGCCTGCTTTCCGGGTCCACTGGTGGAACCTCTTCTAACCGGTTCGGTGGATTTGACGAACCGGTTCTACCGAATAGGTGCGAACTGGTAGGAACCCACCTATGATTTTGCTCCAACAAAGTCTTTCCTTTCCCATAGTCTTTCAAGATAGTTCGCAATTACCGATCTTTATCAGGCTTGGAGAATGGCCAGGCAAATATCTTTCAGATACTGCAATACTTAATTCAGGAATGAACTAATTGTCTCCTGCAAACATCCCTCCCATTTCGTTCCTTTTTTATTCCCTATGGGTGGCCTGACTCCCAAGTTGACCCTTGTTCCTTAGCTGTTCTCTTTGTCTGGCAACTCTGCGCATGCGCACACTAGGAAGAGGCTCCAGCCTCTTCATCTCTGCCTCTGATGCAGAGCCCTCATCAGAGCCTTCCCCAGACTCCAGGACTGGCCCATGTTCCTCCCCAACCTCCTCACTGTTCGAATATGCCGCCAGCTCAGCTGGCTGCTGGCGGGCCACAACACTGGCAAGGAAGGTCACAAATGACCTAAATCTCCCCCAGCCACATCCCCTCCCCCTGCTCCTCTGTGCTTGTGGTAGCCAGTAGTGCACCGACACACAACCCTGTGTATCTTCCCTGACCTGTGTCTCTGTCACCTCCTTGTGCACCCTCCCCCGCTCAATTTCCCATACTCCCTTGCTTCCTTTCCCCACCTGACAGCAACCACTTACCTGCGTGTGGGCCTGGGACTTGCAACTTCCCCCTGGTTGCCCCACTGATTTTGGTTGCGGGAAGCTGGCAGGAAGTTTCTTCACTTCATAACTGAGGGATTCAGTGAACAATGGGATTGCTTAGTATTAGACATTCCAGTTCCAATTGCCTGTGTAAGTCAAGGACTGTCAGTGTAAGAGGAGGTTATTGAGGGTTCCACCACAAAACCGCGCTCGAATAAACCGTGCTCGACTAAACCGTGTAGCTGACGTCATCAACAGGGCGACAACAGCGCGGAGACAGAAGCACGCTGCAAACGCTAAACCTAAAATTAACCCCTAAACCTAACCCCCCTAAACCTAATCCTAACCCTAAACCTAACCCTTAACC